ATTAGTAGGGGACATTCCCTTAATGATTCAGCTTTTTAGCTTTTCTCTTTCCCGAGTTGGCGGTCTTCCCGCCAAAACCTTCACGTGGCCGTACACAAGCCCAGACATGCGTCAAAGCTGATACGGGGCTTCTAGGGTGGCACTTGGCCGAGGAACACACTGGGAAAATTTAAGCTTCAAAGCCTGCGTGATTGGAGAGTAGAAATACCCGAACAGACGAACACACACATACACACACACACACACACACACACACACAAGCATATGCACACGCATAAACACAAAGACAGGGTCGTTGCAATATAGATTTTTGCAGCTTGTTGCAGCGCTCTAACGCTGCACGGTAAAAACTCATTAAAATGAATAATGTTGAGAGGTCGATGGTGTGTGTGTGTGTGTGTGTGTATTTGGAATCGGGCGAACTTTGTCACCCACTTTCAACTTAGCAATCAGAAAAGTTGTGAGGCTGAAATTATGGGATCATATTCCCACCCTCTGTGTCACTTTCCCGTTTTAAAATCTTCGCTCATACACGCCTAGATCTCGCGTATGGACCACCGAAAAAAAATATGCATATTTCTTTGGCGCAAAACGATTTCGCAATCCAGAGAAGATAGAAAGCTAGAGCTTTGCAGGGGTTTTCTCTCAGTTTGCAAAATCAGCTATCGCACATGCTTGTACCGAGCATACGGTCAAGTCAAAATTCGCAGTCGGCAGTGTGCTAACTCGAAAACTAACCGGAAAACAGTAGCTGAAATTTCCTTAGAAAATTTGTCGCTAATATGGAAAATCGTATAACTAAAATGAACTTCGATTTGTATTTGCGCCACGACTTAAGGCACTTCAAGAGATATTTGTAGCGAAGTGGCTATTTCGCTTATCAGAAAATTAATCTGATCTCGAGAGTGGACTCTCATCACGCTGTCTTATGAGTTGACTGGTAATAAAGCACTAACTTTGATTTCTGATTCTGTCTATAAATATGTCTCAATAGCAGTGTTTACATGCGAAGGAATTTTTGCAGCCTATAGTAACTGCATTTTTACATTCCTAAAAAATGTGCAGCAAACATCTACTAATATAGCTACTAATATTTAGAGCTCTTTTACGTCTGAAATCAAGGTTATGCTTGCAGCTGAACTTGTTGAAATTCATGCCCAACTCTTAGTAACTTTACTCACCAATTCACAAATCGAAGATACTTAGCAGACAAAACTTTTAAGGGGGCCAGATTTTTCAACTATTTTTTATGCGTTTTTTGCAGCAATGCAATGCGAAAAACGCATATTGACGAGAGGTTGTCTGTGTGTTCGTGTGTCTGTGTGCCTGTGTGTGCGTCTGTCACGCACTTTCATCTCCGGACCTATAAAAGCTGCGATGTGTCTGTGTGTGCGCTGGGCCTCTGTATCGGTTTTTCATCTCGAGACCGGCAAAAGCTACGGAGCTGAAACTTTGGGGACTTGTGCGTGTGTGTGTGCGCTGCGCGTCTGTACCGATTTTTATGCGTTTTGTGCTGTGTAACAGCCGCGTTTTTTGCAGCTATGCAATGCAGAAAACGCATATTGACGAGAGGTTGTCTGTGTGTGTGTGTGTGCGTGCTGTATGTGTGTGTGTTTGTGTGTGTGTCTGTGTGTGCGCAGCGCGTCTGTACCGATTTTTCATCTCTGTTTGTGTGTGTCTGTGTGTGCGCTGCGCGTCTGTACCGATTTTTCATCTTGAGACTGGCAAAAGCTACGGGGCTGAAACTTTGGGGACTTAATCTACATGCACATACGGGCCCCTATCCCCA